ACTGTGGCTCAAGTGGTAGAGCACTAGCCTTGAGCTGAAGAGCTGAGGGACAGCACCCAGGCCCAGAGTTCAGGCCCCACGACCGGACCCCAAAACACAAACAAACAAAACTAAAAACAACAACAAAAAAATAATAGTTCCAACAACAAGCTAATCATATCTGATCAGAAGTTGGCCAAGGGCTGAACTTGGTCACTTACAGTTATAATCCTTAGGCCTTCAAAGCCACTCAATAGGCAGAGATCAGGAAGATCACAGGTAGAACCCAGCCCAGGCAGAAAGTTAGTGAGACTCCATTTCAACAAGCAAGCAGGACATGGCATGGTGATCCCAGCTATGTGACAGGATCAAGAGCAGTCTAAGATTGCTCCTGGGAAAAACCACAAAACCTAACTGAAAAGTAAAACAAAAATAACTGAGAGAGTGGTTCAAGTAGTAGACTGTCTGCCTAGCAAGCACAACGTGCAAAAAAGTCAGCCCAAAATATCCACAATTATCTCATGGGCCACTTGAAAAAAGGATTGATAGCCACTATGTTTATTGATAAACTTCACCCTGATTATCTTCCCGTGATACTTAATGTTTGCATAATGACATTAAAATTGTTTATTTCATTTTCACCTCATTTTTGAATTTCCATTTTTAAATGCGTTTAATAAACATGTATATAATTTAATAAATGAATTAATATACATGGTTTAGGATTGTCTCTTGGATATCTTTCTTCTGATAGAAGTACAGACTTCTTTGCTGATCCATGTTTTTTGTTGATCAAGCTTGCAGGATGATCAGACTCCAGGTAAGATCGGTTGACTTCTAGTACATGCAGGAAAACAGATGATTTCCCCCCACCCCACCCCCAAAAAAGGATCTTTGTCTGAATAACACTGCTAGTTAGAAACATCTCCTAAATCAGAACACCAAAGTCCTCAAGAATAAAATTACTTGCTCCAGCTCATATTCAGAGATGGCACTAGGACTCTCAGTCTCAGTCCAGTGCTTTTCATAACAAGAGTCACCTTTCTGTGTTAATATAGAAGGATGTAAAGAAGAAATCTAGACAAACTCAAGAAAGTCAAACACAATTTTACATCACCAAAGTAGAGCCCAGATCTATGCTTTCCATACTTACAATAACTCCTGGATAATAGCCTCCAACAGTTACATTCTGGGTCCTAGTGGTTGCAGCCAGGCCCACTGTGAGAATTAATACTGATACAATAAGCAAAGTCACAGTGACATAGATGGAGTTTCGTTTCCTCCGGTTGAAGGCTCCTGTAAACACAAAGAAAGTGGGACTGTTCATTTCTGCCAGAAATATTTTACTAGGAAGGTTTTTCTCTCCTACTCCTACTGGTAACTGAGGTTGTCTCTAGGGAGTGGAATTCCAGCAAAGTGATGGAAATTTCAGTTTTGTAGTCATCAACTGCCACTTTTATAATGAAAATGTCCTTCTATATATCTGAAACCCCTCTGTACATCACTTTTATAATAGTAAATTTTTTCCTCTTAAAATGTATTTGTTTATTCAGGTTTTTTAAATGGTTTTATTGTCAAAGTGATGTACAGATAGGTTACACTTACATAAGTAAGGAAATACATTTCTTGTCAAACTTGTTGCCCCTTTCCTCATTTTTCTCCTCTTTTCCTTTCCCTCCACCCTTCCCACCCCCAGCTTGTACAGATAATTTCCAACATATTGTCTTGTGTATATTGCTGTTGCATTGGTTCTTTGTCTCACCATTCTATTATTCTCTTTCCTTTCCCTAATTCAAATAAACGTATATACATACCAAGATACCAAAATCAAATACGGTGACAATATGGGATATACCATAGGGAGAAGCAGATACAAAAGAAACAAAAAAAATCACATAGTACATTAAAAACAACAACAACCAAGAAAAACCTCTGTGTCCATGCTGTGGCTCAAGTGGTAGAGTGCTCACCTTGAGCTGAAGAGCTCAGGGACAGAGCCCAGGCCCAGAGTTGAAGCCCTACAACTCCCCACCCCCCCAAAAAAAAAGCTCTACTTAATAAAAGATGTATCATCTGTACTTAGTAAGGTGGGTTTTATTAGGCCAAATTATAATGGCATATGATGAATGCAAAATGTTTGTGTGGGGCTATTAAATGAAAATATTTTTAAAGCCAATATGTAACTAAGAAGGTCTTATTCATAAGCTAGAGATATGAAATTTCATTTTCAGTGTAAATATCAGAACCAAGTCAGGTACTAGGGATTTTCTTTTCATTTATTTCTGACATTTGCCACCTCACATATAAACTTTAAAATGGTGTGCTGGCAAGATTTGTCACATAACAAATGAGTGTAATAAAGTAAATGCTGGGAGGCCTTTAGTCCACAAAGATATATATTGGGGAGGTAGATGGAAGGGATTCTAACTTACACACATTTAGGGTTATGTGAGCCAGACATAAATATAAATGATGTGAAACCCATTCTCCTGCTCAGGGCATATCAGACATGATAAGGCAAGCCAATATATTTTTATTTTTAAATTTTTGAAAAACAGGCTTATTAGATAGCATAGAAAAATGGTATCTAAACTTCCTTTTCAATTTAACATTTTTTAAAGGATTCAAGCAGGGCTCCACACTCTATGGGCATTTTTCATTAAAGACATAGGAGGGGGCACCAGGAAATACTTTGGGGAGGGTTACTGTCTAGGAGTTCTCTGGAGGGTAAAAATGATCAAATGGGGAATGCTAGGAGATTTTAGTTCTCTAGCAGAGTTGTGGAAGGTAGGGAGAATGAACCACTGGAGAACCTGATGGGGAAGTGGTTGTCCAGGTGGCATGACTGTAATTGATGACCCTAAAGAAACCTTTGAGAATGTAACATCCAGTCATTCTGGAAGGCCTCACTGTAAACTCTGGAAGGAAGCAGTGGCAGAGGGAAACTGCTCAGACTGTACTACTGAGGTGGGGGAGGGAAGGAAGGGAAAGACCAAGGGGAAAAAAGAGGAGAAAACAAGAAGAGAGAAAGACCTAGGAAACCTGATAGTGACGTGGCTGTAGCCAGCCTTGCACCTCCTGCAGATATGCCCTTTAGTTTGTAAATAGTCTGGACTGTTGAATGAGTTAGACCCACCATCCATCTTGTCTTTCCCATTGTGATCCCAGTTCCTAGGGAAGTGGGAGGGGCTGGCCGTCTCCCCTGACGTCAGCCTAAAGAAAGGGAGGTGACTCATCAGGCCATTTCTAATAAGGTATTATTCTAACATCATTTTGCATCAAAGTGTAAAAGCAGTTTAAGCATATATAGGCACAAATATATTAAAGTGCCCATCTTACCATGAAAGGAGAGGTGAGGAGAGTGGAGAAAAGAGGTTCCTCTACAGTGAGACTTCAGTCCAGCCCCCAGAGGGAAAAAATAAAAGGCCCAGAGCCACCTGTGACCTCAGGGTCCTTTGTGTGAGATGGCGACTAGGGATGCAAAGAACAAGTTAATGGGTGACAGACAGATGAACAAAGCCTGGCAATTACAACTGCCAGGCTGGGAAGGGAGAAGAAAGGTGGGGTACAGGATGAACAGAATTTAATTTCTTCAATTGATCTGAACATTAGTTATCCTTTCTCGACTTTGAGGCAACCTAAATGAGTCTCTAAATCAGGGTTCCTAAAATCTATTTGGTGATAGTGTTCAGTGTGTTCCACAAGGGACTTTAACCTAAATATATCAACACCACCTCCCATTCTTGTCTTCTTTTCTCCTTTGTCATTCCTACAGGATCTTTAGCCTTTTCTTGCCCCCAAATTGAGGGGGGGGCGGGGTGGGGGAGACTTGCACCAAGGAAGATCTTATCAGGGAAGATGTAACCTTAGAGATGAAATTGGATTATGTATATATGCACGGTTTTTATTAACTTATTTCACAGGCTTGCTCCTTCCCCACCAACTGACCCTTAATCCTATTCACAGCTCTTGGGCCTTATTTGCAAACATCGCTCTAACTCTTAAAAGCACAGGAGCCAGATCAGAAAAGTGACTCAGCAAACCACATGGTGTCATTGGAAAATCTATTTTTTTTCTTTGCTTTAGAGCTTGAATTGAAAATTCAATCAGTTGAGAAAACTAGTCAAAGGCACAAGGGCCTTGCCTCCAGATAGGGTTTGTTTTCTATGAAATTACCAAGAAATATATACTAAAAATGTCATAATGAATTCCATTATTTTGTACCATTAACATTTGCTAATAAAAAATGAAAAAAGAAAGTTCTAACTTCACTAGATGGAATATCTACTTTATGTCCTCTGATGTTTCTTCAATCCCTCCTTTTTGTATACTATAAACACTACAAACGTGTAAAATAAAATATATAGTCATAGTATTCGATGTACACACATGAAAAAGGAAACAAGTAACTTGAGGGATGGGGTTACATTCTCTCCCTAGAATGATGGAAGCAGTGACATTGATCAAGAGGCATTGTACTCATAAACTGACATGTTGAACTGATAATAAAAAATCTTGGGGAGTTGACAATTTTAAGGAACATCTGGGTGAATCACCCCTCAATTTATCTTCAGTGTCAATTTGAGTTGATTAAATTCAAATCAACTTGATTTTGTGAAGGTGTGGCCAAGGGTCTAGAAGACAGATCTTTTTGTGTGCTTAGGACATTTTCCTGGTGCTTGTTCTATCTTAGAGGTGAGAACAGCCCTGCTCATGGTAGGGCAAGACTAAAGGCTTTCTTTAGATGGTCCTGTATTCACAGGACCATCTTAATCAGGTTTTATTATAATTAATTTGATTATAATTAAAACACATAAATTAATGCATCAACTGGCATATAAATCAATATGTCAAAGGAACTCAGACACCATGAGCCCTTTTCATACGAGATTGGTGCATTCAGGGTGGTATGGACATAGACACCTCATGAACCCTTTTCAAAGAACTGACAGTTGCCTGTCATTGTGTCTGATACCTAAGAAGTAGTCTGTACTTGTTGAATAACAGTAACAATAACCAAACTTGATTGTGTCTTAATTGAAAAGGTTATGGAATGAATTACTTGCATACACATTGACTATCCTCACAGTATTGGCTTCCTAAAACAGGATACACAAAAGAGAGCCATAGAACCAAAAACCATCTAGTCCTAATCACAGTGTTTCTCACTACCCTGTCTACTTTGTGCCCACTGTTAAACAACAACTCCTGCAATCAAAAACAGTGAGCTTCTGAATCTCATTGCTGTTGTCTGCCTGCCCCCAGCAGCCTTCCCGCAGATCTACTGCAGCCCTCCCTCTCTGCAGTGCCCCACCTCCATCCCACCATCCTGAAGAACAAGATGCTGTGCTCTACAAGCACCCAAATATATACTATCTCTATCCTTCCAAATTCAACCCAATTCTTTCTCCCTCAAGTCCCCTCCCTAATGAAACTCCCACTCTAGAACCTTCTCCATTTCAATTGGTCTCTCCCTTCATCTGAAACCTGCTCAAAACTCACATTTTCCATAAGCTTTTCAAGCTCCAACCACTTATTATTTCAGATCTTTAATTTCCCAGATACCTCACTCCGTAAGTGTATTAAATGTAATTGCTATGATTACAATTATAACTGTGGGTCTGATCCACAAGTCATATGATGTCCACCAGTATGAATTGCTAAAAAGACAGGATTGGGTCTCTGCCTACCCCTACTGATCTTAAGCATATTCTTGCTTTTCCGCTCCCAAGAGATTCAGTAGGATGTTCAATCTTTATTGGAGTGCAGTAAAGATGGAGGCCTGTATTCTTTTCTGTACAGTATGTTCTTGATGACTGGTAATTTTCTGAGTTGATCTTTTGAACCAGTTGGAATTTGCTTACCTGAATCTGTTTTCTCACATGAGAGGTTTCCAGAAACTCTCAGCCTTGAGCATCCTCAGAAACAGGTGGCTACTCATATAACATCTCAAAGCCCTACCAATCTCTTAAAATTTTTCTGAGAGCTGCTGAAATTCATCACTTCCACCTCTGTAGTCAATTCTTTAAACAGAGATATCCAAGGCCTCCTCAGCGAGATAAAATTGTCTTATTGAGGAGTAATGGCTAACTGTAATAAAGGTTCCTTAGCCCCTGGGGGCGCTATTGCCAAAACGGAAGAGAGGGGTTTCTTGAGAGAGGATGGATGGCACAGGAGTTATATTACCATCTTCATAACTGCAGAGCTCCTGCTCTGCTCTGAGCTAACCCCCCAGGCAACTAACAAATACAGAGGATGGGCACTTTGGTGCAGTGTGTGGTGTGGTGTGGTGTGGTGTGGTATGGTGTGTGTGTGTGTGTGTGTGTGTGTGTGTGTGCGCGCGCGCGCGCCGCGCGCGTGTGCGTGTGGCTAGTATACAGGGAATCCCCTCCGAAATGTTGCCCTTGAAGTCTGAAACACTAACTCATCCACCACCACCACCACCACCACCACCACTCCGCCGCGCATGCATGCAAAGGTAAAGTTGTCAGAACTGAGTCAAGTGGGAGTAGCTCCCAAGCATCCGAGATGCTGATTCAGGCCTGGGCTGAACGGGACCAGTGCCAGGGAACTCCGGTGCAAGGAGACTCCCCAGTCTTAACTGTGGGAATCCAGGGTTACCACTCTAGGTAGGAATCTGCTAGTGCGGTTCGCTTGAGGATTTTCAAAAAGGTGAATGCATGATGAAGGATCGGTGTCTTTGTGTGATCCATGATTGTTTTTGTGCAGCGTTGTGCCTGGGCTTGGCGAAACCCACTGAGCTTGTTGTTGCGCAGACCTTTGGAGGAACGCATGATTGGCTGAGGCCCCTGGGAGTCCAAGAAAGAGGTCTGTTCATCTTGTTTCGCGGCCCATAGAGGAGTATCAAATAGCAACCCTCTTATCCCTGAACTTTAATTTGCCCACTCCTCGCATTCAGACGGCCTACGATGAGGAGGTTTGGGTTGCAGGTGGTTGTCAACCGCAGCTGGAATGGGAGCTGCGCAACCTGCTCTGTTCTCTCTTTTCTCGGTGCAACAGCTTGGCCTGGGGAGGAGCCAAGACCATGTTGGCGCCACAGCTGGCCAAGGTAAGGAGTGCATTCTGTATGCGAGTGTGTGCGTGTGTGTGCGTGCGTAGTGCGTGAGAGAGAGAGAGAGAGAGAGAGAGAGTCAGAGACAGACCCAGAGACAGAGACAGAAACAGAGAGACAGGGAAAGAGAGAGGGGGAGGGGGAAGGGGAGGAGGAGGGAGAGACTGCTGGACTCTAGATTCGGACCCGAGTCCTTGGCCTCATTTGCGTTGCAAGTAACATGCCCTTAAAGTGAAAAGAGCAGCTCTTAAACGGAGTATGCAAAATCATACAATACGTATCTGACCCACCATCAAAGAGATCGCACTTTTGGGGTGGGCTTTCGTATACGAATTTTGTTGCGACTGAGCCTTTTGCAGGCAGTAGGGGCGTCAATCTTCTCCCAGTCCCCTCCCCCTACAGATGTTCCCGCAAATTCTTCGTAGACGACCTGAGTAAACAAGAGCTAAGGAAGTAGGGACCAAGGGGCTTTGCAGAATGTAAAGTGTATTGGAAAGGAGAGAATTCGATTTCGTTGAAGTGTATCCGAGACACATTTTAAGATTAGGTGGGATCATGGTTCCACAATCCCCTCCCGCTCTCCAGGGCTCTAAATTAATTTCTCCGCCCAGTGAAATCATACGGCTTGGGAAGATGCCTAACAGCTGAAGGGAACTGAGTTTGGTTTTTGTTTGTTAACTACCAAAAAGCAGGATACAGGAGCAGCCAACTTGCTGCCTGAAGATCGCAGTCCCCAGTTTTCACGAGGAAAGGTGACGAAAAGTGCCCCTCCCCCTCCATTCCACTCGGAGAGGCAAAGCGCGACTTCAGAAGATGCGCGGGCTCGCGGTTGATCTTCTTTCTCGCCCCCTCCCCACCATTTTCCACATTCACGCACATTCCTTGCATTTAGAAACGGAATAGGAATCAAAATGCAAGGAATGTTGATCGTGCTAACGCAGACGTTAGAGTGTGTTAAGTGATTCCTCAGGAATTCTCCAGTCCCCTCTTCTTTCTTACTCCCCAACCCCCCAGCCCCTAGGGTTGCGCAACCACCCCCACCCCCCATCAACAAGGTGCAAATCCCCACCCCCCGTCCTAGCGCACGCAGCTCAGAATTTTAGGGCAGCTTGTAGAGAGTTGGGAAATGGACGAAGACCCTGCTTCGTCTAATTATTTCTTACTTCCTGAGCTCTTAGAAGTGAGGAGGACTTCTCAAAGAGGTAACATCGAAGAGAAATCAAAGGCGACGATTGAAAGGGAAGTGTTTTGATCCCCAGGCTGCTAGGATTTACCAGTGTGTGTAAGTCTGTAGACTCACGCACACACCCGCACTCCAGGGCAAGGACTCACACACAAGCTTGGCGTTCCAATATCCGCACGTTGCCCACCCTCCACAGCCAGGCAGTTCCCTGGGGTTCTGGTCCACCACCATTAATACTGAGATGCGTGGACCCCTCTGGTTTCCGGCTGTCTAGCTTTCAGGACAGCCCGGAGCTGGCAGTCCAGAGGGCAGCGCACTCCTTGCTGACGCCGCCCGGAGGAAGGGCGGCTAGACTTACCCATGGAATCAGGCAGGGACATGTCGCTGGATCGTTGCTGAGTCAGGGACTGATGCATGGTGAAATCTGTCCTGTTTGCCCCAGTCCCCTAAGACGCTTCAAGCGCCCCCAGCTCAGGGCGCCCCGCAGAGCATCTTACTCCGCGGCTCCTTCTCCTGGTCCCTCCAGAGAGCTGAGGGAGACTGCCTTTGGTTGAGAGCTGCAGCCCAAGAGCCGCCTCCCCCTCCCTTCCCCTCTTCTCCCTCCCTCTGCTCCAGGAGGCAGCAGCATTGGCAGTCCAAGCAGCAGCGTGCGCTTGCGCAAGACCCCCCCCCCCCCCCCCCCGCCTCCCCATCCTAGTTATCCAACTCCCAGCTTCCCAAGCCTGACTGGGAGCTGTTTTAGCCCCTTGGGGCCAGAGCTGCACAGAGATAAAGAAGGCTCCAGCCTGGGGGCAATTTGCCTACCCTGTAGCTTGAGGAGAGGGTCTTGGGAAATCATCTTGTTTTAAAATTTATAATTGGGGAGGAACACAGAGTCACAGATTCAGAGCTGAAGAACATATAAACACATACGCGCATGCACATGCACACACACGCGTGCACGCGCGCGCACACACACACACACACACACATTTGTGCAGGTCTGGTCTTAGAGCTTCCAGAATGACATAATGGAGCTGGAGATGATCCAGAAAAGGGCCACTGTATAATCAAGAGCACGGTGGAGGGAGGCTGTCTTATGAAGATAGATTAAACAAATGCAGACTCTTTAGTCTAGAATGATGAAGGCTGGGAAGGGATGTGACCAGAGTGTATAAAATTATGCAGATATGAAGAGAAAGAGGACACAGCCTTATCTGACAATTCTAGAACCAACAGCACCGTAAGAGCTGGAAGGATAGTCTTCTAAAGCAAACATGGCCCTGTATCAGCACCCCCTTACTATTTTTTTTTAATTTTTTAATTTTTTTGTTGGTTGTGGGGCTTGAACTCTGAGCCTGTGCACCGTCCCTGAACTCTTCAGTTCAAGATTTGCCTTTTACCACTTGAGACACAATGCCACTTCTGATTTTCTTGTGGTTTATTGGAGGTAAGAGTCTTACAGACTTTCCTGTCCTGGCTGGCTTTGAACTGCGATCCTCAGATCTCAGCCTCCTAAGTAGGATTATGGGCATGAGCCACTGGCGCCCAGCCCCCTTACTATTTTTGCTCAAGGATCTCGTTTTCTCATCATAGCAGCCATGTAAGGAAGAGGAATAATCTACAACCCTATTTTATAGATGAAGAAACCGAATCTCAGATGAAAATCTAGGACCACTTGGCTATTAGTGGCAGAGATGGAATTCAAGCATAGAACAGTTGGACTCACACAGCAGTGCTCATCTTGCTTTGGCAACTGCCTCCATGTCCCCAAATTCCAAACAAAGTTAAGTATAACATTCTTTTGCGAATCACTAGGATGAATAATACTTGGTTCTTTCCATATCTGCCTTGTTAGCCTGTGAGATTTTTGTTACTTTGTCCAGGAAATAGAATCATAGGCTCTTTCCCTTTCTCATTTTCCAAAGAAAGAAAACATGCTTCCTAGAGGTCAATAAAGAAAGCTCTTTAAAAAGAACTTGGGTACTCCAGGTTGAGTGTTGTCTCAAGTATTATTAGCAGCTGCATACAAAAGGTGTGATTGGAGATCTATGATATATATCTCAGATAGAGACAAGAGGCCCACTATTGTAGAGGTGTCTGTCTTAATCATGTTTGGTGTATAGGTCAATCTCCATAAGCTTTACAAAAGCAGAAAGAAGTCCTATACTTTTACACAATCACAGTGATTGTCTTTCAGTTCTGTTTATTTGTCTCTTCCTCCTCTCACCCTAAATACCTTATATCTAATATAAAGAATTCCTGTAACCTGTAATGGTTTCTTAGGAGTGCTTCATAATTAGCTTATTTCACTTTTGTGAAAGTAGCCTTGAGGAAAAGAGTTTTTTGGGGTTTTTTTGGGGGGGGTCCAGTTGTGGGGCCTGAACTCTGGGCCTGAGTGCTGTCCCTCAGCTCTTCAGCTCAAGGCTAGCACTCTACCACTTGAGCCACAACGTCACTTCTGGCTTTTTTCTTTTTGCTTATGTGGTGCTGAGGAATCGAACCCAGGGCCTCAGGCATGCAAGGCAAGCGCTCTACCACTGAGCCACCTTCCCAGCCGGAAAAGAGGTTTTTTATGCAGGCTAGAAAATAATGTTTAACACCCTCTTTAGAGATACTTGGCTCCCTTACACCAACCACACAGGTAGAGATACTGAAGGAAGCCAAATAGAAACTTGTTACTGTACCATACTAGTTTCAGTGGACAGAATGAAGCCTTTGCACTTTAGAAAGAAACATATTACCCTAGAAATGATGCAGATGGCATATGTAATTGGACTTTGATAGCCAAAGCCACAAACTAGTGAGGTGCTCTTGATAGTGGTGAACCTTGCTTTCTCCAACATTCATGAATCCTGTGTGAAGTGGAATAGTATTTATTTAAAAAAAAACACTAGAAGATCTGGTTATTTAAAGATCTGTGTATTGTGTATTTTTTTCATACTGCTTCTTGGGGTACCTTATGGGACTTGGAACACAGCAGGCACTCAGTCAAGTTAAAAATGACTTTGAGATCAGTAACTGTGACAATAGTAGCAGCTGCAGCCGCTCAAAGAGTAGTAGCAGCCTTCTCCCCAGAGATGGTGTATTTGTTTGGAGCTGGGAAAAGAGGAGGTACTAAAATAAGAACTATGAAAAAGCTACATTTCAGACAAGCTCAGTACCTAAACCTCTCTTTCTTCAAAAGTAAGTTTATTTTAATTCAAGATGAGCTGCACAAAGGTGTTTTTTCATGGGTTTACTTCTGGTTTGATTCATGTAAAGCACATGCAGATTTCATACAAAAAATAGGTTCATAGTAAAATTTACGAATAGGCAAACCGTCAAGATAAAGAAACATCTTTCACGCAAGTGAAGTTGCTATAAAACTGCTTGGTTAGCTTCAGATGAATAAGAAATTACTAAAATGTCTTAAAATAAATCTCTTTCATTGCAAGCTTAATCAAGCATACAGTGTTGCCCCTAGGTTGCAAACTGTTTAGTAGCATCAGGAAATGTTTGCCAATGGGGCTGCAGCCTATTTCTCTCTGTCTTCTTCAAACCAATAATGATGACCGCTCGAAAAATGCCAGATGGTACTCTCTCTCCAAAATATTCGCTTTAGAAATAACCATACCATTCAGTCACATCATTTTATGACTTATTTGACTTGTTAAATCACTGTGGTACTTTCCAGATTCCAAACTTGGAAATGTACATTAGAGAAATCAAGGCTAAAAGTATATTCACACATGCACACATACATGCACACATGCAAAATTAAAATGATGGGCACACAAGTTTTTACATCACACATATACACAATCACACATACACACACAATCACACACATTGCAGACATTATCTCCACACCCTGATTAATACCACTTGCCTCTCACTTATCAGGCTTGCATTGCTCAAGGACAGAGATGAGCTTCTGAATAATGGAGTACCTGCAAAAGTTAAAGCATTCCTAATTGAAGTTGGAGTTGGACCTACCAGATTCTCTTAAGTCAATGCCTAGTATTCAGTATCTGTGCCACAAACAGCTGAATCTTCATTGAAGGAGTCATGCTAGAGGGTGCTATTTTACCCATGAAGGTTGACTTTTCCTCATTGTCAAGTAGTTATTTTCTTTGGGTACCAGGAAAATAACCATAGCATCAAAGAGCAGTAACAGTACAAATCTCTACTTTGTTATTGTCTATTTTGTAATCTTCTTTTGTCAACCAAACATTGTATTTTCCAATACCAATAAAAATATTTAATGATGTGATTTTAAGAGGCTTAGACATCATTTGTCAGTATCCTACTGTTACTGAATATTTTAAAGGTTTCCAATTTTTCAACATTATAAATAATATAATGAACTGAAATCTTAGCAACTTTCTTTTTCTAGCATACAATAAAATATGACAGTGGAATTATTGATTCAAAAGTGCCAAACCACATACAATTAACTGAGTTTTTAACACCATGCATGTAATAAAGTACACATACTGGTGAATTTTCATTTATATGTATATGTTTATATATGCATATAGCTCCTTGTAACACCAACCAGATCAAGATATTGAAACTTTTCAGCATCCCAGATGGCTCCCCGGAGCTCCCTCCTCTAATTACCCTTCCATCAATTACCACAATTCTGATGTTTATTATTAAGCTCTCATATTTTTAGGCCTTTGAATATACCAAACTGTGTCCAAAACATTTGTAGTAAAGCATATTCCCACTGTCAACACATTAATTTGTCCAGGTCCCCAGATCTCCTGGATTTTCTCTTGAAAAAGACTTTGTTTTAGTATTAAAGACATACCTAGTTACAGTCAGTCAGCAATGATAGAATAGTCAAGAAGCCTGATTGGAGTTCAGCTATACACAAGGGTGCAGTAACATCTAGAATCCAGAGGGCAATCCCAACAGGCAGATAGCACTGTGTCAGGATCCCAAGGAGCTTAGAAATGTCCAACTACTCAGATTTCAGTGTTTTATGACTTATTGCTCTCTGTTGCACACACCCAGTCTTCTTCATATTTAGCTTTCAACTTTCCTGTAACAGTCAGTTATTCTTGGTACAAAGTTGACATTTAAATACTTCTTAAACACATGACACTTTTATTGCACTTTTTGATGACTGAAATTTTAAAATGACACTAAAGAATCCTAGAAACTACACAGGTACCTGATATAACAAGTTATTCCTTCCTCAGAATTCTACTCTCCAGAGATAAAAATCTATTGGATTGAGTTCTTTCCAAAATTTTTCTCTATGCATATATTTACTTTTGTTTGTATTTGAAAGAGTCAATTTATTCCTTATAATAGCAAACTTTCAAAATAGTAAATATTTTATTAATCACTGTAAGTTATATTTAATAGCTTTCAAATACACCACATCAAAACCCATCTTCAATTAATCAAATCCAAAGTAGTTCATTCATACACAGTGAAACTCCATCCAGCTTATATTATAGCTATTACGGGCAGGGAATGGAAATTATGTCTTCTTTTTGATCATTAATATGTAGCGAGAAGCATCTGGAGAATTATATGGAAATGAATACAAAGAAATTATCTTGACTTCAAAGTATACTGAAATATCAACAAAATATCAAAATGATACAGGTATTTCTATTTTACTAAATTCTTGATGACAAAGTTCTGAAGA